TATGTGCCGATTTCGCCGCCCTTACGTACAAAAATAGGGTCTCGAAAAAGGATGAGAATCTATGTTGGATATGATTTTCCTTCGATTATTCGTTACTTAGAACCTTTGACAGGTGATCTATTTACCACTCATTTAGTGGATTGTCACTTCTATGAGACAATCTTCCCGTAATTAGGGGAAGATAAGAACGTCAACGTCCATAATGGATCCCCATACTTCTCTGTCTAAAACTGAAGTGTAGTGTATATTAGATCTTCATAGCGTAGCTCAAAGCATGCCAGATGATTTCACCGATCTAATGCAAGTGACAATATCACATATTCCAACTGCGAATGTGTCTGCAAAGATAAATGTACCAAATGTATGATAGACTTGCCTCTTGGAAGCCCAGGATGCCATTTTGGCCAATCCACGTACATTAGTGGCTAGCCAATCATCTGCCCCTACACAGAAGCATGGTAGACCACTTGTTTCAAATAATTCACACCTTCGGAAGAGGAAACCCACAGCACAAGCCCCTGAATAACCTACCTTGAATTCGACTGTCACCTATTCATTCTATCAAACTTATGAGGAAATTCTAGATTACGGAAGCGTCCTTGATGAGACGAATCCACCTCCCCAGATTCGTGAGATTTTGGTCTATTATGCTAGCTTGGATGATGTTTGATGTAGAAATGAGATGATCGTCGATGATGCATTAGCATATGCAGTAGCTACTGGGACCATATTGAGCGATGACATTGAACCTCGTTCTTTTGATGAATGTCGACGTAGAACCGATTAGTCAAACTGAAAACAAGCAATCCAAGTCGAATTAGATTCGCTTGTGAAACATAAGGTGTTTGGACTTGTAGCTCATACTCTTCCATATGTGAAGCCCGTTAGTTAGAAGTGGGTTTTCTTTTGGAAGCATAATGAGAATAACGAAATTGTGCATTACAAAGCTCGTATTGCTGTGCAAGGCTTCTCACAACGCACCGAGATTGACTATAGCAAAACTTATTCACCTGTTATGGATGTGATTAATTTTCTCTACCTTATCAGTTTGATACTTTCTGAAAATCTAAGTATGCAGTGGGTGGACGTAGTAACTGCGTATCTTTATGGGGGTCTTGATACAAAAATTTATATGAAAGTTCCCAACAGACTTATATTGACTAGATCAAATATTTCCAAACCCTGAAACACGCTTTCAATTCGGCTGAGGCGTTCACTCTACGATTTGAAGCAATTCAGAAGAATGTGATATAACCGTCTGAGTGAGTAGTTGACTAGTCAAGGATATGTGAACAACAAACTATGCCTTTGTGTGTTCATTAAGGAGTCACATTCCGGTTTTGCGATTTTGCAGTATATGTCAATGATATGAATCTCATCAGAACTTCTGAAGAGCTTGAGAGAATTGTCGCGCACCTAAGGTCAGAATTTGAGATGAAAGATCTAGGAAAGACTAGATATTGTCTCGGTCTCGAGATAGAGCACCGTTCGGATGGAATCTTAGTACATCGATCGAACTACACCCAGAAGGTGTTGCACTATTTTAACGAGAATAAAGCGAAGCCTTCGAGTACTCCTATGATCATTCAATCACTAAATGCAAAACGAGATCCCTTCTGTCTGAATGAGGATGATGATGAGATTTTGGAGCCTGAAGTTCCTTATCTAAGTGCATAGGCGCTTTATTGTACCTAGCTTAATGCACTAAACCCAACATCTCATTCGTTGTTAATCTTTTAGCAAGATATAGTAATGCACCAACACGCAGACACTGGACACATCTTCCGTTACCTTAAAGGTACCAAGGATTTGGGCTTGTTATATCCCTATAAATCCTTGAGTGATGCTGCACCCTCTAATCTCAAGTCGATTTTTGCCTTGTTGGTCATGCCGATGCATGATACTTATCTGATCCGCACAAGGTACGCTCTCAAACGTGTTATGTCTTTACCGTTGGAGGCACTGCAATCTCTTGGAGGTCAACTAAACAGACCTTAGTTGCCACTTCGTCTAATCATTCTGAAATTCTCACTCTACACGAAGCAACTCGGGAACGCTTCTAGCTGAGAGCAATTGTGGGCCATATTCAAAGCTCCTGCAATCTTTACCCCATCGTTGACATCTCGAAGATGATCTATGAAGACAATGCAGCATGCATCGAAGAGCTCAAGAAGGGTTACATCAAATGAGACAACATCAAGCACATTGCGCTGAAGTTTTTCTTCTCACATCAATAATAAGAGCATCTGAATATTGAAGTCACGCAAATCCGTTCACAAGACAATATGGCCAACCTCTTCACCAAATCACTACCGAATGCGAAGTTTTAAAAGCTTGTTCAAGAAATTGGTATGCGTAAACTTCTAAGTTGTAACATTGTTAGTTCTCTTTAGAATTGTGTCAAACTTAGGGGGAGTATCATGAAGTATACTAGCTTAATCTTAATATACTCTTTTTCCTTACGATTAAGAGCATTTCTCCCACTGGGTTTTTGTTACCTAACGAGGTTTTGACGAGGCACCCACCTTGGATTGATCATATCCCTAATGATGTCCCTTAGACGTTTCATTTGACTTTGCATTACTCACGCATTTTTCCTTAAACTATGGATTTTGTCCCTACTCTGGTTTTACCATAGCCTTAGGGTTTTTTGTGAGACTTACTTCCTTATGTAAGTTCCTACCTTATTAAGACTAGCGTGTTCCCAGAATCAGTGCCGACAAATCGACTTCCTCAACTCTACATGATGCCGAATCTACTTGAGTATTTACACACTCAAGGGAGAGTGTTATAAACTTCGTATTTAAGTGTGATTGTCTAAATCCTAGATTATATTTAATTCTTGTTATTCTTCCCTATTAGGACTTGTATTCCTTGGAGGAGAAGGATTCTTCCCTTCCTTATTACTATAAATAAAGGCACTGGGTAGAGAGAATAACACATCCTCTACACAACCCTACAAACACATATCTCTCTCTCTCTATATATTTTCTCTGTGTCGCCGGCCTCTTCTTCCTGTCAGTTAAACATAGGCCGCAACAAATATTAAATTTTTAGGTTTTTTCTGAAATATACTAAGGCGCACTATTGGGTTGATATATATTAGTAATATGGAAATATTTTTCTCATTGATTAGAAAATTTATTTTACAGAAAAAGAGGGACAACTAGTGGCCACGATTATTCACCATTTTAGCCCTGAGGAGGCTATGAGGAATTTTACCTTATCCGTGACCACAGTTGAGCAAACTCACCAACTCGGAGCATCGAACCCGAAACCTCTCATATTTTTTTGTTTATTGGGTTGATATAAACTAGTAATATGGAAATATTTTTCTCATTGACTAGACAATGTGATCACGTTTCAAAAGAAGCATTAGAAGTTTTTGTGGAAGACATATATAAAGTACACGCGTTCATGTAGCTCAGAGCAATACTTCTTACCATGTGAACTTTCCTTTCCAAAATATACACATTGTTTGGCAAATTAGAAGATCATTTTTCTTTTAGTACAAAGGAGGTATGCAAATTAAAAGATTATTATATACACACATTGTTTTATTCTACAGTACCATAGAAACAGATCGGAATATCAGATATTAAGAACAAAATATAATTATTATTCTATACAATGAAAAGAAAATATTCTATACCGACACTTTAGTGGTTTCCACTCCTATTTTCATTTTCTTCTTCCGATTAATTAGTTTTAATTTTGATTTCATGTAGGTTATTGATTTTAGCGCTGCTAATTTAGCTTATTGCTCTTTACCAGGGAGTATAAAAGATTATAAATATTCTGTATTGAACGCTATTCTAAAAATTTCCGCCTAGCATCGTTTAGGTGTTAGGCGGTTAACCACTGTTATGATTAATATCTAAGCATTTGAAAATTAAGTGCATCTAGACCCATTTAGGCAGCCACCTAGCCCGCCTAAACCCACCTAGATTACGATTCTCACTTAAATAAAAAATTGATAACTTTCATTTGCATTTTACTTTTGTCAACAAAATGTAAGAGACACATTTTACATCACGACAGTACTACACGATCCAAAGAATTTGCTTTGTATGTTTGGTCAAGCGAAGCTATTTATCGTACCAGAGGGGGCACAATCCTCCCGTTGGATTTGTTGGCAAAAGCTTTCATTTGGTTGGTTCAACAAAACAAATTTCGTAAAATTGTAAAACTAGCTAATCTTCACAATTACTGTTGGTGTAAAAATGCGGTTTGAGTATCATGAAGCCAATGAAGTTGCTCATCGGCTTGCAAAATTTATTTTATCCAATGATGTTAGGTTGGTTGAATTAGAAATGCCAATTACTTTTATAGAAAAACTAATGAAAATGACTTGAAAATTTTGAGTTTTAACAATAATGACAAAATAAAGGGTAAAATAAATAGTATCAGGATTGACTTTTTAGTGTGAAAATATAGTTTTTCGTTAAAGTGAACAGTACCAGAGCTTTTCGTTAAAGTTCCTTACTTTTATTCATGACGCTCTTAGACTATCTCAAATCTTTGGATTAAAACCTAAAATTTTTAATTAAAAAACAAAATTAATCTAGAAACCGTTTTTTTTTTTTTTTTTTGCTCCAATAGTTTTGAGTTACAATTTTAGCTCAAAATTATTAAAGAATGAATTTAAGTTAATTTTTATTTCGGTTGCTAATCTAACATATAATCTAATAAAATTTATCGTTTAATAAATTATTATTATTATTTTTAAAATTTGTCGAAATTTTAACCCAAAACTTATTTCAAACTCAAACTATTAGAGAATGATTGCATTAATAACCCAAACAATTAGAGATGGTTACAGAATATCCTCTAATATGAAATCAAGGCCTTTCTGTTTTATTTTTTAATTTTTTTCAAACCAATAAAATTTCTCTCTGAAACTTCCTGGTAAGATAGTGGAAAGAGCAATTAAATAGGGTCAAATGGCCTCTTTCCTTTCCTCTATCCGTCCTATATATCCTCATCTACTTCCCCAGATGAACTTTAATTTATTACGTTATCTCCAAAGCTTCTTCTTTAAGTTTGGGACACGCGTTCGCCGAAAAAGTAAATTACATGTCCACGCGCCTTCTTTTTCTTTGTGTGCTTAAAGCCGACTCCGCATACAAATCTCGACACAGATATCGTCGCACCTCAACACGACTAAGTTCCGATCGCAAAGACTCTGCATTCTGCAACGTAGATTTGGTGAATTACCCAGAGAAGAAAATCAAAAGATAATCAAGTTGGTGAGCAAAATCTTTCTTCCTCCCTGGTTATCATCTTCTTGTTATTTGATAATTGTTCTATTAGTTGATGTTGAAATACTGGTAACTTTTAACTGCTTACAAGAATTTTGTTCTGGGTTTTTGGATCTGTGAATTTGTATTACTTCTTGGTTGTTGAATGATGTCTGTGGAGGTTGAATGATGTCTGTGGAGGTGCAGCGTCTTTATCACTTTTCTTTTCAGTTTTGCCGGAATTGGGATTTTTATGAAGAGGGTTTGGTATTCAAATCTTATTGATGGATTGGGCTGCTTGGAATTTTTACATTATTTGGGATTCTGTAGCTTTTTGCCCAGACGATCTTTTTGTGTTTGAAGTTGCCACAGTCAAACAGTTCTTGCAAATCAGAAACCGTTTTGAGAAAAAAAGGACTTCTGTTTAAAATATTAGTGATCAATCCATTGTTGCCCAGAATTAAGAATCTGTTATTCATATTTTTGGGCCAATTTTGTGAAATCTTTCTGTAATATAGTATGTGTGTCGCTCCTGTTGTACTCCGTTGAAGTAGCGAACTTCGCCAAGGCGGAGTATGATGTGATTTGGGACTGGGCGTGTTTGTTTCTATTTGTTTACTTTTGGTCATTGGTTTCCCAACTGATCTTTTGGATGAATGATATTATGTAGGAATTAGTTACGAGCTCAAGTAAGATGGATGGTGGAAGAGACAACAAAGATGATAATGAAAAAGGGCTGTTTTCAAATCTTGCTGGATATGCTGCTGGACACTACCCACAGCATGGAGCCTACCCTCCACAAGGATACGGATATCCTCCGCAAGCGCATGGACCACCGGGTTACCCTCCTCAAGTTGGGTACCCTCCCTATGGTGGGTACCCTCCTTCAGGCGGTTATCCTCCTCCAGGCGGTTATCCTCCTCCGGGCGGTTATCCTCCATCTGGTTATCCTCCCCCTGGGGGTTATCCACCATCTGCTTATCCTGCCCATGGTGGATATCCACCAGCCGGATATCCAGGTTCATCATCTCACCATTCAGGTAATCAAATTGCCGTTACTTAGTTTCTTATACTATATGAAGAGTAATATGTGAGATTGTTAGTATAGTTCAGTTTCAACTGTGAGACTATGACTTAGTAACGTTATACCTGAACGGTCTTTCAATGGATTTTGTGGTAGCATATATCTCAAGGGAGAAAGGTAGCTTAAAATGGCCAGTATGTGATGTTTTAGCGTATCCTTTGGTTTACTTTTTTTAATAACACAATAAGACTATTAGAACCTTGGCTAACTAGGGCTATTTCAAGAACCAAGGTCAACCACTCGAGCAATCTAAACCAATCAAAGTTTTGTGGTCTGGATTGAGTTTTCTTTTCTATATTATAACTATTTTCCTCAGGTCTATGGCATCGGTGGCGTGCAATGTGTGTGATGTAAATTTGGACTTTTTACTGCCATAAAATGTTTTGAGGTCCTAGGTTATTATTACTGTAAGAGAAAAGAACAAAAATTGGTTTTGGAAAAAAAGTGTTAACCAAACAGAACCTGTGTCGATGACCAAAATGTTTGAATTGCTAGAACGTTGTTGGTAATTGGCTAGTTGCATGAGATCGTTAATATAAATTCTATTTAAGTTCCAGAAATTCATGGGAGCACTTTAATTTCAATGCATGAATTGTGAGAAGGAGCGGTTGAATATAATTAAGTTGATAATTGTATGTAATATTTCACTATACTAGATGCCGATGACCATCAGATAAGAACCACCAAAAGGTTCTTAGAATAATATGTGACGCGCCACTACTTTTTTGTTAGAATTTTTGCTAATATGAAACTATAACAGGGCATGGACCTAATATTGGAGGGATGCTAGCTGGAGGTGCTGCTGCTGCAGCTGCTGCTTACGGGGCTCACCATCTTGTGCATAGTGGAGGTCACCATGGGTATGGTTATGGAGGTCACCACGGCTATGGACACGGGAAGTTCAAGCACGGCCATGGTCACGGGAAGTTCAAACATGGAAAATTTAAGCACGGGAAGTTTGGCAAGCGCTTTGGATTCGGGGGGAAGTTCAGGAAGTGGAAGTGATCGAGATTACTATTGAAGATCGAAGTCCTCTGTATTTGATGTTGTTGATATTTTAATTGGCCTTTTAATAATTACTTCAGACTGGATTCTTTGGATTTTTTTTACCTCTGTAAATGAGGCTACTGCTACCATATGTCAGTTTGGTTCTTTTGGTTCGATGATGTATATATAGAATTCTTAGTAGTGAGCAACTTGATGGATTTTCTACTTTCTTTTTATCCTCCTTGTCAATATGTTAATGTAAGTATACGGTAAATATGGGCTCACAAGGGAGCATTAGTTTTGTGCTTAATCGTAATTGGGCTTTCGTTTGTGTATGTTTGCTCTGTAGCCACGTTAGAGAAATGAAAATGAACTTAATAAATTTAAGGTATGTTAAAGAAAGAAATGCTGCTGAATGTAGGATGTTGCCGCTAAGGCATGGTTCAAAGACCTCCGACCGCCTTGGTCTTTGTTCTTTCCCGGGACGGCCTCCCCAGTCCCCCGGAAGCCATGGCCAGAACCTGCTAATATTGTTATTGTTATTTTCCCTTTGTGTTTTCTCCTTACATTGGACTGGCCTCTTTGACATGTCCTTTTTTTGTTGGTGTTGATGTTTAATTTCTTGAGGATTTAACTCCTGTGCTTTGTTCCGTTTTGCCTTGTTGGCAGATTTTGAATGAAACATCTAATTACCAAAAACGTGATGGTGTAATCGTTACACTTAGAGACGTAGAAGAGAAAGTATACATACCATTTTGTTTATTTACATATTATATCCAAATAATGTAGCTCATTGCAGCAGTTATTGGGTGGTTGGATGTAAACGTGTCTTTGCATGTCCGCTTGCATCTAGCAATATTAGGGATGCCCTTAACAGGTCATCTTCCCCCCTTTTTTTCCTCTTTCCTTTCCATTTCCAACAACTCTCCTCCTAATTATAAGTATTTTACAGCTCCTCATCTTCTTTTAACAGTTTTACACACGCGTTTGACCCAACAAAATATAGATAATAAAGAAAATAAAAAACGCACACGCATTTGTTTGTGCGTGTGTGTATGGTCGAAGCCTCCAACGATCCAACTGCACATGCAACGGGAGAACAAGAAACAACGTTTCCAAAAATTTGTCACACCAATCTCAAGTATTCTGCAACATCAATTGGTGAGCATTCTATATTTTTCTCTTTTAGCTTTTGAAATCATGGTAAACTTTCATTGCCTCTATGAATATTTCTTGTGGTTATGTAGATTTTTCGTATTTTCTTCTGGGTTTGTGGTTTTCTGATTTTGGTTGTCATTGTTTCTTTTTATTGATTTAAATTGATGGAATTGCTTCTGACATGATTTTCTTTTGTGATTTCTTTTAGCATTGTGAGAATCATTTAATTATTTTGGGATTCTTTTACAAGCACGGGTTTCGTAGGGGATTTGTATTTTCATCGTGATAGACCATGGTTTAAATCTTTGTTTTTCTTGAGATACATCATGCACACTTCATATAATCTTACTTCGCTAATCGCTAAGTTATATAACCACCATTAAATTATCTTTTGTTCAAATTCTTATACCAAAAGAAAAGAAGGTGTGGAGCAAAAGTTAATGATCATAGGGTTTATATCTTTATTGAAATTGGAATTAGATTTCCAAAACCCTGCACTCGTGAGAATGTTATGATGTAAGGGGGGCTTTACTCAAATTCTAAAATTATTTTGACAATTTGATTACTTTAATATGTTTCTTGTGCACGCTTGTTTCAAACAATATGATGAACTTTTGACACCAAAGGGTGTCGAACTAGGCTAGTGGTTACCAGGTCAGATATGTACTTTAGGCCTCTATTACTGTTAGGAGATGGTTGTTCATGTCTAATCCCCTTCTGAATTCGGATCCCCTCAAAATTAAGAATCATTTCAATATGCATACCTTGAATTTGAAGGGTTATCCATTTCTATCCAATCCTATGTACCATACGAGGCCTTAGAGATATCACAGACCTAATGGATGTTTTAATTTGTAAACACCTATGAAAGAAATAATTAGAAAGAACTTCAAAGGAATTTCCTTTGACATGATCAATTTTTTATCATAGTGGTTGATAACATTCTCATATTTCCATGGTATGGACGCATACTCTTACATCTGCTTTATTTGGTCACTTGAACTGCTGATATCTCATCCCAAATTGTCATATAAATTTGTGCACAATGTTGTATAGTTATGTCCAACTTGGAATTTTTTCTTTGCAGTTGAATTTTAGCAGAATAATTGTTGCTATTTACTATAAGTAAACGGTTGTTGTTTCATTTAGGAATCTTCAGAACAAAATCTTGGGCGTGATTCTATGAACACCTCTCCATAGCAGAACTTTGTCAAAGTAGTAAACTTTTCCAAGAAAGAGTATGAAGTGATATGGGTTTGCTTTGTGCATGGCTGTTGGCTGTGTTTGCCTCTATCATGTTTTTTAATGTTAATTTTTTTGTAGGCATTAGTTTAAAGTTGAAGTAATATGGGAGGGGGAACAGGAAACAACGACGAGTCTACTGACAGAGGGCTATTTTCAAACCTTGCTGGATTTGCTTCTGGACACCTTGCACGACCTGGATCACACCATGGATATCCCCAAGGTGGATATCCTCCCCAAGCTGGGTACCCCCCTCAAGGCGGTTACCCTCCCCAAGGTGGGTACCCTCCTCAAGGCGGTTACCCTCCCCAAGGTGGATACCCTCCTTCCGGTGGGTACCCTCCATCTGGATATCCTCCCGCAGGATATCCACCAACAGCCCATCCAGCCCCTGGTGGATATCCACCAGCCGGTTATCCAGGTCCATCAGCTCCACATCATTCAGGTAACAGAATCACTGTCATTTAGTTCTCTTATATAATTTGTGATATGTGATAGTATAGTTCAGTTTCAATAAATTTATCCTCAGCGGTCCTCCATATATTTTATTATGGTATACTTTGGATGTGGTTCATAATCCTTGACATTCTTTGATTAACCGTAATAGTATTCAAAGTTTGATCAAAGTCCCTTGACTTCGTACATCTCATTATATTACTATTAATATTTATATTTTTATAGTTTTGACATTAATTGTTTGATATTTTATGAGATTTATAATCCTATAAATTTATAATCCCTCATTACAATACTATTAGAAACGGTTACAATAAAAAAATTCAAACATTTTGATTTTAAAAAATGGATAAAAACGATGTAAAAATAAGAAATAATAAATGGCAAAAGAATGTATCCATATTGTTACAAAAATTGGTACATTTTACAAAAAAAATAGGTACATTTGACATATAACAAAGTGGTACATTAATAAAGAAGAATGGGTACATTATAAATAAATTAGGGTACAGATAAAAGATTAAAAATTATGAGTACAAATGAATTTTTAAAAAAATATAGGTACTAAAAGAAATTAATACATGGGTACAAAATAAAACTAAAAAGAAAATACTACAAATTTTAAAAAAAATGTTGCAAATTAAAAGTGGGTACAAACTAAAAATATAAATGTATGATACAAAGTTTAGGCATAAAACATAAATATACCATATGTAATTTTTCTATCATTGATTAAATATACAATGTCACGTGACGGTATACACATGGGTACAAACACAAATAAAACTTTAAAAAATTGGACACAAAAAGAAACTAATATATAGGTACAAATTAAAAATGAAAAGAAAATTGGTACAAATTAAAAAATATTTGCAATAAAAATAGGTACAAACTAAAAATAAAAATATATGATAAAAAATTTAGTCATAAATATAAATATACTAATTGTAACATTTTTAACACTAAATGAATATATTTAAAAATAAAAATATTTTATTATTCATATAATTAATGATGTTATTAATACCCAAGAACCATGATCAAAAATTGAAAATAAATAGGATTTTAATCAATGCAGTAACAAAAAGAAGGATGTGAACCTAATTTTCCCTTTTATTATTGATTTCCCGTCTAAGAGAAGCTTCAACTGAGGTAGCAAACTTTTTCTTCTCAATAGTTATTTCTTGAATCTCAGAACCCTAGGGTTGTTTAAGAACTGAATTGAACCACTCAAGCAATCCAAATTAAACTGATAAAAGTTGTGTAGTTTGGATTGGAGCCTCTTCTCGATACATTTTGCTCCAGAAAATAAATCTGTTCAACTGAACCAAACCGATGCTGATGACCATTCAGAATGAGAATATAGTTGGAAAGCTGTTGGTAGACTTACATACACCTTCCTCTTTGTTTTAGAGGATCGCAAGCATCAATTAGGGTTTAATTAAGGAATGAGAGCTGATTTTCACACACCTTTTTATAGCTTTTCCCACACCCTCTTTTGTTCCAGGCCATCGGATTGAATAAATCAAACGAAAAACAACGGACATAATTAGCCAGGGTTGTGTAGGAAGCTATAAAAGGTGTGTGTTTATCATTTTCCTTAAAGGAATTAATTAGTGTTGTGCATCACTTTATAAGCCATGTAGTGCATGTTTCCGTTCCTCTTGTTTCTTCCATGTAATAATTAAGAAATTATTGCTAAATGTTTAAGATATTACGTACATTTCTCTACATACAATATTCTACGATTTTCGGTTGCGATTTTAGCTGACGAAAATATATATATATTACAGGGCGTGGATCATCAGGTATGGGGATGGGGGCCATGTTAGCTGGGGGTGCTGCTGCCGCAGCTGCTGGCTACGGAGTTCACCATCTTGTGCATGGGAGTCACCATGGTGGCGGATACGGTCATGGCGGCGGATATGGTCATGGCGGTGGATATGGTCATGGTGGCTATGGGGGCTTCGGTCATGGAAAGTTCAAACATGGGAAACATGGAAAGTTTAAGCATGGGAAACATGGCAAGTTCAAGAAATGGAAGTAATAGTTCATCTAAGGAAATCGAATGGAGGGTTCAGATCCAAATCCCTTCCTCTATTGATAATATTATATTACAATTGGTATTTTCATATGCAGGTGTTTGAAAGATGTTATTGTGTTCTTTTTTTCCGAAAGGATGTTATTGTGCATGCCCATACGCAGTTTTACAAGTTTATTTGTTTAATCTTACAAGCTTAGTTCTTTGTGTTTTTGTGATTCAAATATCTTTTTCTATTTGTTAAATCTTTATTAATGTGATAATCCGTCTTACAAGATCATTATCCTTGCCTCCTTTTTTGGATCTTTCTTTCAAGGCTTTATTACTTCTGTGGTACATGGATCATCGACGGCAGCACAAGTAGGTGCCTGTGCAACACCACAGGTGAGAGAATAGGTAGAGAAAATGGATTTTAGTGATGATTATATATCCTTATGGATCTTCTTTCAATTCATTACTATATGGTCTCATTTGGTAGCTCGGACTGTACTGACTATTTCAGTCGGATAGGATAAATAGACATCGGATATTACTGGCTAAATTAGTCAGACATTTGGTGTAAATCGGACTAATGTTTTGTTTGGCAACTCGGACTGTACTTACTATTTTAATCAGATAGTATAAATAGACACCGAATATTATTGACTAAATTAGTCAGACATTTGGTGTAAATCGGACTAATGACTGTATTAGTTATACCAGTGGCGGAGCCAGGATTTCGGATTAGGAGGGGCCTCTCACAAATATTAAAAAAATTAAATCGATAGTAGTTACAAAACTGTTAACCAAAACATCATAGTATGTATATGAAAAGTAACCAAAATTCAAAATAACATAGCATTGATAATATTACATATTCCCAATAATTAAAATAATTGTCCTCTATACTATTAAAAATATCCTTTTCAATATAAGCAACCAAACAATCGTTCATCCACAAATCACCCATTCGATTGCGTAGGGTGTTCTTAACAATATTCATAGCAGAAAAGACTCGCTCTACACTTGCTGTTGCAACCGGTAAGATGAGTGCCAGTGTCAAAAGCAAGTACACTAACGGATAAGTATGATCTTTCTTGGTTCCAACCATCTTTTGTGCAAGATAACAACATAAACAATAGGCAGCATCCTGTGATGTGCTATACTCCAACCAATTAGGAAATTGAGTAAACCAAGCAGGATTGAACCTTCTAGGCTTTGTCCCAAAATTTGTGTAGGGAAATGCATGGGTTTTTGGTTGACAAGGTTTATTTTGGAGATAGGCTCTTCGAACTTGGTCTCGAACATTAGGATGATAACTCAAAATCGGTCTACGCAATCCAGGATCATACTGGAGAGTTTCCGAGTTAATTTCCATAGAATCCACACAAGTTTGTTTTGAACTACTTTCATTGTTCTTTGGACTCTTTGGAGACGGTTCTAATATCTCAGGTTGTGTTTTTCTTTTGAAATATCTTTCCATAACTGAAAAGTAAAAAAACATAGATTGACTAACTTTAAATTAAAAGAAATATGAACATATATGCTAATTTTACAAACTAAAACAAATTAGGCAATAGTTAAGAGAAATTGCAAGACATCAATTTAATCATAATTTATAAACAAAAAATTGTAACAGGAATTGAGAGTAAAATACATACTTTGGGTTGTTGACCAATTAACTAAACTTCAATGTCTTTTTTATGGAATGATGGAATAATTGAATTCTTTAATCTGCAAAAAAAATATTATTTGTTAAATTAATTTACAATTGTAGATGACACATATATGAATTAGCAAATTATAAAAAAAAAAATTGAAAATGACAACTATGAAGATTCGAAGTTCATACTCTTGATAGATTGATACACTGTACGGCTTGTGTACCACGGGAGGGATCAGACTGAGAGAAGCAGTGTTGAGAAGGAGAGAGCTACGGGAGGGAGAAACGAAGAAGAAGAAGAGAGAGATCAGAAAACATAAAAAAAATAAACAAGGTGGGCCCCACGGGCTCACCAATTAAGGCTTTAAAACAATTTTAAAATATAAAAGAGGGTAGGGGTGTTTCAAGTGTTCTGACTATTTTTTCAAACTAGCAGCAGAGCAACAGTAGGCTAGAATTAGAGAATAATAAAATACTAATTTTTAGTATTGGGAAAATGAATGGAAGATGAAGTGTTGGAAGTTGGAATAGGTTATAGGTAGTCTTTAGGGTTATATAAAGAGGGCCGGATATTCTTAAAATATTTAAAGAGAGCCGGATAGTTTGTCTAGGAAATATGAATGATTTAACTGAAAATAATAAAATAATAAGTAGTACTAATTTTTAGTTATAAACAAAAGCAGGATGGGCCTAGGACTACTGTGGTCCTATGGTCCCTCCGCCCCTGAGTTATACTGTATTTGGTATACAACATTACTTAAATACAATTAATACAAAGTTTCAATAATATATAGATAAATTTAGATAATTTTGGTAGAGTTCCAAAAAAATTACATAAATTTCTGGAAAAATCCAACTTTTAGGATTTTGTAATATATAAATCCACAAAGATCAACAAAATACAATCCACACATGGAATCAATCCCCACGGATGCAGACCCAACCCCGGGCTCAAAACATCTTCGTTGTCGTCGAGGAAAATAGCAGGTGATGCGGCGAAACAAAGAGAAAAAGAAGAAGACGACGAAGATGAACCTTAGACGAGAAATAGCAGGTGATGCAGCAGAGAGTGATGCGAGAGAAGAACGGAGTGAGTGAGAGAAATTCACCTGACTAATAATACATAGCTTTTAGAGTAAATTACCGATTTGCCCCTGAACTCACCCAACTTTCGATTTTCCTCTAAACTTTTTAATTGGAAAATTAAGGAGTTAAATTATTATTATTTTTTTGGCCAATTTGGCCCCTGTTGTTAATTTTTCATTCATTTCATCCAAAATTCTGTTAAATTAAAACATGTGCACAACATGTGTGGGTAGTTCGGTCATTTCATTCTTAAAATAATTGAAAACCTTATATTTCTAAAATATAAACCTATGCAAATATGTGTGATTCTATAGCTTTTGTGTCTAAATGCCTAGTGAAGTGACGTTTTTGTCCACTAAGGAGAGTTACGTGGTTTGCTCATGATAAGAATTAACGTTAATTTGGATGAAATTTATGAAAAACTAATGGTAGGGGGCAAATCGGCCAAAAAAAAAGATTAAGTCCTTAATTTTCCAATTAAAAAGTTCAGGGGGAAAATCGAAAGTTGGGTGATAGTTCATGTGCTAATTTGGCAGTTTACTCTAGCTTTTAAAGGGGGTAAATAGTTGGGTGTGAGTGCTATATGACAAGTGGGTCTGGATTAAACAATTTGGTGCTTATTTAAAACGAAACTCACCAAATATCCGTTTCGTATTATTAATACTATCCATTAGTCTTATATGATGTGCCAAACGAGGCCTATAAATGTAAACGTATCATATATCTGCCACCAAAAGCCTATGCAGAAACAGATGCAATATGTTGAAGAGTATCACTATTTTGGGCTAAAATACTTTCATAAGTTCTAGTGGATGAAAAGCCACTTTATTTATTTATTTAAAAAAAAATTTCTGAACAAACAATATCATATACATTGAGAAGGAGTAAACAAACAAAAATGCTTACAAAAGCATAAGCAAATGTACATAGAAGGTTTTCTGTTAAAATCATTGTCGAATAAAAGTTGAGAACTGTTATTAGCACTCAAAAAATTTCAAATGACACTCCTTACAAGTGTATTTTTCTTTCTACTTATAAAAAATTTATAATGCAAAATGCGACTACTGGAGTGCCAATAACAATTCTCTAAAAAATAATCAAATTCAATCAGAGCGCATCACGTAAATATAAAATCATAATAGCAAGTTACCCTTTGACATGGTAAGTAGGGGTGGGCACGGTTTGGTTTGGTGTGGTTTTGAGTGAAACCAAAATTTTTTGCGGTTTGGTTTGGTGCGGTTTTGAAGCCAAAATCGAAATGAAACCAAACCGTTTGGTTCGGTTCGGTGCTTTCAAACGGTTTCGGTTTGGTTTTTAAGAAAAAAATGTACAATTTGCAATTTAACATATTAATAAGTGTTTCGCATTAGCAATAGAAAAAGACATTTGTTATATAAACAATTAGCATGTTGTATGCAGTTGTGATGTTAAAACATGTTTGTGCAACAAAAGGGTGTCCAGTACAAGGTGTAACATAATACAAATTAAAGAATTTTGAATTCATTAAACGTAAGCGAAACTTTCATACTAAAATATGTAATATCATGCTTCAAATGAGTGGACTTCATTAGATCATTGTTCGACTCTTGATAACAAGATTAGTCCACCCTTGTACATATATGTGTGTGTGTGTGTGTGGTGGTATAAAATAACAAAGGTCCTTCAAGTTAATGAACGAAAGAAAGTGATGAATGATGATATTCTAGTGTGGTTGAGTCCATACTAAGTGTATGGATTCTAACAAACAACTAATTAAAACATGAAATTTAATATGGACATTTAATTAAATGTTTATTAATATTTGCGGTGCGGTTCAGTTTCGATGCGGTTTTCAAACGTCAAACCGAAACCAAACCATTTTCTATGTTGCGATTTGGTTTCAAAACTAAAACCGTTCCAAAACCGCAAAATCAAACCGTTCGGTGCGGTTCGATTTAGTTTGTATTTCGATTTTGGTTTTTGGTTCTAAGTGTCCACCCCTAATGGTAAGCACTGTTATCTAAGCTCTAATAGGCTAAGCAGACCAGCTTAAAAGAATGACAGAAGCCCACAACTATAAGGCCCAAGGCCCATAAATAGCCAAGCACTCCAGTAGAAAACTTGGCTCTTCAGCGGACCGTACAACTTCTCTCTCGAGGGGAATGGTTGGCCAAATGTAAGCAAGGCAGATACCGTCCAACACTTCCTACAAGACTCCATGATAAATCGGACTTTGTATTTTTTTTATTTTTTATTTGAGAATGTGTCTAGTAATTTAATACGTGTCTAGTAGCACTATCCAAATTTCAAAAAATAATAAAGTCGTGTTTGGTTGTAATGTTTTTGTAATATAAATATTGAAATTGGTAACGATGATGGTGGTTAGGGTGGTGTTGCCAGTAGCGGTGGTGGTGATAATAAAAGGTTTCAATGGTGGTGGGATATAGGTGGTGGTGGTGGTGGAAATGGTGGTTGTGTGAACAATGGTAGTGAAAATGGTGGTTAGGGAGGTGGCTATGGTGGTGGGAGGTGGTGATGGTGGTGGCAGTGTTGAGACGATTGAGATGGTGGTCGCCATGGTAGTGGGGATGATGGCGGTGGAGGATGTGGTGGTGACGATAGTGAGACGGTGGAGTTGGTGGAGGTGGTTGTAGTGGTGGCCCTGATGGTGTGGGTCATGACGATGAAGAATGTGGTGGATAGTGTCAGCGATGCTGGTGACATGGCGGTTGCATAGATGATTTTATTTTATTTTATTAAAACTCAAACTTAGTTTTAGAGTGTTATTGACACGCTAAAAAAAACTTCAAACTTTTCATATTTGGAAAGAAATATACACTTAAACGAGTGCATGCACAAGTGACAATAACACCTTTGTTTTATAATGTATCATGTACTTTCTATTATTTTGGATTCTACTCTTGAACAACATAGGAAAAATTAATGTGATCCTTTACATAATTTAGGCTTAATATTTTTTGCGTTTTTCATTTTCATAAAACGATTTGTTAAAAGCATTTTTGCAAGTGTTTTTGTATCTGCAAAATTAAAAAAAAGAAAGAATATTATCTCTATTAGAAAGGTGATACAAATGTGGTAAGTGTAGCATCACTCAAATTAAAAACTATTTTGCTAAATGTTACTGAACAAATCCTAAAATAATATACAATAGTTTTTTATTTTTGGTTTTTAGTTTTGATTTTGTGGTGTCTTTCCTTATACATTTCTTCTACATCTCTTCCATCATCTTTCCTCCATTCTTTTTCCGCCTCACCTCTTCCATGTATCTCCCCTCTATTGTAATAGAAAAATGAAAACTAAAAGCGAAATGAACATCAAATGAGCTCTTAATATACTATAATTCATTTTGGTCGGATCCGTTTCAGAATATTATAAATGAAGCGTGTAAATCATTTAAATAAGCTCTTATTAGTTAAATAGTAGGACAGCAGCCGAAGTCTTGGTTGTTGAATCATTTGTGCAAATCCTTTACCTACAAAAAAAAGATTACAAAAATAATTTAAACTAAAAATATAAAAATAAAACCAACTCGTGCAGTCAAAGTCAAGAACGAATCATACGTAGTAGAATAACTCATCTGATCACCTACTCTGCAATGTGTTTCCCATCGTTCCTGGTCCCTTTGCTAGCTAGGTTGTTCTTGATACATAGTTTTTAATATAATTTGTATTTTGTTTGTTTCCTTTTTCTTTAAATCCAAAAACAATAGATAGGAAAATTGCAAAACTTTTTGGTTTGCATGTTCCTGGGGATCGAGTGGTTAGATGAGGGTCCACATGCTCCTGCCCTCACATGCACTACTATACTTGTCCTTACCTGCTTATCCCTTTTAAACGATTAAATGTGCTTTGCTTTGTTGACTAATTACTGATTAAGGTGACAATGGAAGATTATAATGCATCGTTGCTTGTTTACAACGTGCAGTAGTTAGAGCAGTGTGTTTGTTTCTTTTGGGTGTTTATTTTGTAAGATAATGTGTTTATTCGCTTGTATTCGTGTACCCCATAAGATGATGCAGTTGATTAGAGTAATGTGTTTGCTTGTTTGTCGCATACTGCTCAATAAAATGATGGTTTGCTCATTTATATTCATCTACTCTATAATAAGATGATACAGTTGGCTAAATTAATGTGTTTGTTTTTTGTCTTAGTTTACTTTGTAAGATTATGTGTTTGCCCTCGTGCATTCATTTACTTTATAATAAGATGATTCAATTGACTAAAATAGTCTTTACTTTTCTGCCTTAGTTTATTATATTTCTTTAAGATGATGTGTTTGCTCGCTTGCATTTGTCTCCTCTTTATAGGGGAAAAGTAATTTTAAGTATTCTTTTATCAACAAAGAAAAAGGAAAGTGATTGGTTTCTATGTGCAATAGAA